CAGCACCTTCTTGCTCCATTGTTCATTTGTTATTTCTTCTGTGTTTGAAAGTGTGTTTGGTGGGTGATTATCTGTGTTAACATTACGTAGATTTAACGGTGTATAATTAAAATCATTTTCTAAGATTGTTTTATGAAGTAGGCTAGTATTAGATTTTAGCAAGAAAAAGTATTGCAATCTGGAGATCTGCTTTCGCCGTAAATTTTGTAAATGAATAAGGCCCCTACCCCCATTCTGTTTTTTGTTGATTTTGGATGGTGATGGTTATTAGTTAGTTTGTAAGTATACATCAAGTAATTCTTTCAATTGAAACTATATCAGTTTTACTCCAGTTTATGACATCTAACGAGTATGTAAGCACAGGTATAGCATGGGTGTTGATTGCTTTTCTTAGGTATTTCCCGGTTAATCGGCTTTTGCAGATGTTTGTTACTCTTCTTTTGTATTCACTACGAAGATTTTGTTTTATTTGCATGTGGTCTAAACCTTTGGTCTAAACCAAGTACTTATTATAGTAGTTATTCGATTCCATCGCTGTTATTATTTGGGTTGTTGGGTCATTTTGATCTATCGAGTAGTCACCGCTGCAGATTTTGCCCTTTGTTATATGTAAGGTTTTGCATTTATCTAGACCAAATTGCATATTAATGTCTCTACTAAATTCGGCCGTTATTATTATTATACATATACATACATGCAATAATCATTACAAACTCTATTAAATACCACAAAAACTGAATTCGCCTAGGTGAACACCGAATGTACCGGTTTTGTTTAAATAGTTCGGTATTGCGACCATATTTTATGACTTTTTATCAGTTTTTTTGTTTTATTGTGATACAGATCATTTTATTCATACAGACACGACCGTTATTCTCTGACAACTCAATAACAGAAAAAATAAGATTAAAGCAATTCATAAACTACTTTCAGCATTTATTAACGTGTCGTGCGTAATGCGTACTTGCCAATTGAATTACCCCATTGGCCGCTGACCCCACAATTGCTATCAGATTGCTCTCGCAGTTGCCGCGATACTTATTATGACATTGCATGGCGTGTGAAAGAATAATGACTAATAAGTAATAAACCTTTTAATGATTATTACCTATTAGGAAAAATAATTTTACCCACAATCAAACGTGGTAAATAACTGTAGGTATGAATAATGTGACCATTTTTTATTTGTATCAAAACAAGCCATCATTTTTCTTAAGAAAACGGGGCGTTGAAAATCATATAAGTCTTTATAGATGGCCCCTTTTTAGTATCCTGTATCACCCTTGAGGATTGGACGGATGGTATAGCGGTTGGCGGCTACAAGATTGCAAATTTGCGTTACGCCGATGATACAACCCTACTCGCCTCTAGCGCTCAGCGCTTAGAGGAACTGCTCCAGAAGATGGAATATGTTAGCCTGGAGTTCGGATTAAAGGTCAATCGCAGCAAGACAAAAGTGATGATTGTGGACCGCGTCAACAATAACTCGCCAGAAGTCACTAATATTGCGAACTGTGAAGTGGTCCAGTCATATATATACCTTGGCACTTTGATCACGAACAATGGTGGATGCATCGAAGAAATCAAACGACGCATGGCTATAACTAGGAGTGCCATGGACAGGCTTAAGAAGATATGGAGAAATAGAAATATCACCAGGGCCACGAAATCCCGATTGGTTCGAACTTTTGTTTTCCCTATTTTCCTGTATGCTGCCGAGACATGGACTCTACGGGAGATAGAAAAGAAAAAGATCGACGCCCTAGAGATGTGGTGCTGGAGAAAGATGCTCGGAGTATCGTGGACTGAGTTGCGTACGAACGTTTCCATACTCGAGGAACTTGGCATCGAAGAGAGACTATCAGCTATCGTTCAAACCCGCATTTTGAAGTTTTTTGGCCACATCTCCAGGAAAGAAAGTGACTCCATTGAACGTCTTGTAGTGCAGGGCAGAGTGGAGGGTACCAGACCCCGTGGTAGATCTCCCATGCGATGGACCGACCAAATAAAAGCAGCTGTGGGTGGCCAACTACATGAGTGCACCAGAATGACGGCCAACAGAGCGAAATGGCGAGAGATAGTGCACAAACTATCAAAGACAAGGAACGAGACAACATGATGGCCACGACCGCTCTGTCAAGAGCGTAACGATAGAGAAGAAGAAAAAGCCCATTACTTTTTGGTATACCTACAATATTCGGTATATCAAAAATCCCAAAGTACCTAACTGGAAAACAAATTAATTTTGCATAGCTCATTAGTATTCAGTCTATCGTCGCCTTCCTCTTTTCTCTACTTCGCAGACAACCAACTAAATAACAGTCCTGCTCAAATCGGGAGGTCTGACCACCTTAAGTTTGCCCCATCTGACAGATACTTTGCATTTTTTTTAATCATATTTCACATTGAGATGATTTTATTAAATTTGGTCTTTATTATTAGGTTCTTTGTTTGGGTTTGTGAAGAGCTGATTAACCCTGTTTGGATAATTACCTCTAGGTTAGCAATCACTGCACTAGAGTCTAATGGGTGCCAACCAACACCAGAGTAAAAGATTCAAAAAGATTTTACTTTTTATTGTACGCTGGTACACTGGTACGCTCTGGTGTTTATGATGGGATGGAACAGCGTAGTACAAAACAAAGATTTTTTTGTCTGGCTGGTTCTACACTTCCCAAACAGGTTACACACAGGCATAACACTATACTTATATTGAACTCTCGTTTGCTTCTTTCTGTGCTTGGTATGTTTATAGCAAGATTTTAAAAACAACAAAATGTCCATAGTCAATCAGAAATATTTTACTACAATATCTAAACTTGTCACTAAGAGATAATAATATAACCTAATGTTATTTGTTTAGTCCTAGTTATTGTTGTTCATGCTAAATATGCTAAATAGTATATCACTCTTTGACATACTTTCAATTTACACTTGTCCATAAGCATAAGCTAGAGCAGAAGATCCCAACCAGGAATTGTAAAGAGATGTCAAGGAGAGCGAAAGAATGATCTACTCATCAAAGGACTCATATAAATGGGTCCTTAGTCGATTTATAACAATCGATTTATAATTTTACATGGGTAAAATATATGAACAAGAAAGGTTTGTAACCCCTGGGCTGGAGGTACAAGCACCATGTCCAAGTAAGAATATGAGAAAATGTATGAGTGATGGTGTTGAGGTTTTGCTACTCTGAAGTAAAAAGGGGATAGAAATTTACAAGGATTACTCTGTAATACTCATGTTTTTTTAAACTTTTGTATAAAAATATTTCATAAAAATGTAACAAATACGCCCTAATAACAAGTTAGGATACCACGATTAATACATTATTTTATACATAGAAAATTGGTACGTGGGAATTATTTATTTTAAAATATTTAATATACTAAATTTAAATAAAAATCCACACAGGATTGATAAAATAAAACCATGAAACCGTAAAAGTCCTCCGTATTCGATAAACACTCCAAGTTTTAGTAGTAAGAGAAAAACAGTAAAAACTTGAATAAATCAAGATTTTTTTTATATTAAGCATAAATCTAAAAAGAGTTTATTGGTTGATATCAAAGCGTGATCGAGCTTGCTACAAATTTAGTGATCTGTGGTCGTGCCTTAGGTCGTTCGTAACTGTTTACTAAAGCTTATTTAAATAAATCACTTACCATTTCACAGTCCGTCTAAAATCTAAATGAAAATCTGACATATATTCATAACATTACATAAAAATTATTCACTTATACCAAAATACTTTAAAACATGACCAAATAGCACGTGCAGTAAAGCAGTAAAGTACCTAAAGTTGAGCGACCCCACAGACCAATTAAGTACCTAGAGAAACATTTACATTATCAAGCACAGACCAACTTTCTCAGATGAGGTAAGCAAAACATCCAAATAAAAATAAATTATATGAAAGAATCATGTCTAATTTTGACCTAAAAATTTGCTAACACGTCTAGTGATATGATATATCTCACAAAATAGCTTATTTTTTACTCAATTCACGTCAGCATTTTAAATCCTAAAATAAAGTCAGGATTAAAATAGACAGGCTGATAATTTATTTTTAAATAGTAATATGATTACAACCGCATGAGATTTGGTTCCTTAAATGAAAGTCTACTACACTACCCCAATGCAAATAGAGGAGTAATAGGTCCCACCCCTGGTATTGCTCCTTGTGTCTATGGTAAAGACCAGTGGGGGGGGGGGGTCAACTTTGTAAGGGCAATGATAAATGCCTAGATTGTGATCATCGCCATCTTTTATTCATTTCATTTTCATTTTACATGTAAAAATTAATTTATTTACTTGACATTGGCAGAATTGTGTGAAATGCGCAGATAAGCCATTAATTAAAAAAGAAGAAAAAGATAAATGCATAACTGGGTAAAAATTGACCAATCACAGCCTCTTTGGTAGCTGTCATTTCTGTCTGTAGCTGTCATAGATTATACATAATAGTGAGAAGAAAGAACAATGAACGAATTTTTAGTCTTGTAATCTATCAAAAAACTATGTAAGGCTTAAAAGGACTAGTATCCAGAGCGGTAACCACTAATAATAATAAAAAAAAATGTGTAGTAAATGTGTACTGTGGTCTATGGTATACCTTCGTTTGTATATTTCGCTTGTTAATTTGTAAATAAGATTCACAGAATATGATAATGAGTAATAAGCTTTTCTGATTTTTCATAAAACAACTCTGTATGTACATAGTTTAGTGACAAAAGTCTCTATGATAAACTGTAGTATCACGAGTTTCACAGACTTATTGTTTATTATGTAATTAATGACATAAAACATACAAATCACATAAAACTTAAAAAGACTTGGCTTCGGCCTTTTGACTTAGACTGAGAATACAAATTTTTATTAAAAAAGACTTGGCTGTGGCCGCTGAATAAGAATATTTAAGAATATAATTACAAATTACAAGGCTGTATGGGCTAAGCACCCTTTGCCTTCCCCTTCCTCTGTAGGAATAGGTAAATTGAACCAAAAAAAAAAGGTCTATGGTATAGATTCATTTGTTGCATTATTTTTATTTTCTCTGATTAATTTTTATTATTTTTTTCCCTAAAGAAAATTGTTTCTGTTATTTAGGAGGAATGGTTAATGCAAGTTTAGCGTATGAAATACTGTTATATATTAACTCGTTTTATTTCGGTCTGTTTGCGACATGTGAATTGGGTACTTTAATTTTGAAATCAGTATTGATCATAGAAAAATACGATATTGAGAAAAATCCAACGAAATTAGGCCAGGATTATGGAGTTCTAGTAGGATTATTTATCATCGAAGCAGCGAGATTAACATTAGGTAGAAGAGGGAGTCTCAGTGAAAGAGGTAATATTTTCATATAATTAATTAATGATACTTCTTCTTCAATATTACATCTAAGTATTTAAAGTCACTGTTTTATTTTTCAGATAAACCGGTGATGTTCTCTGTACCCTTGACACTCCCTTCGATTGTTGGAGTCCTATACCTCCTGATATGGCAAGAAGTGGTGCTTCGCATTGAATATATTTGGTGTACACTGATGCTGTCCTTACAGATGCTGGAGTTCATGTTTGCTGTAATGTTTATTGCAACTATGTGCAAAGATCCATCATATGATTAGATATGGTTTGTTATTTACATTTTACTAAATAAAAATGCCTTAGCTAGTGTTTATAAAGTATATTTATTATAAGTTGCAAATATATACATAAGCACATTAAACACTTGAATGTATGATTGATGAAGTTAAAACTAGTGCAATATTAGGTACTATTCAATGCTCTCTACTTATTTTAATGGTTTAAAATGTTATTCAAGTACTTATAAAAAAGGAATCTGGTGTAAAGATATATCAATTATGTTTTAAAATACATAAACAAACAGATATATATATATATATATATATATATATATATATATATATATATATATATATATATATATATAGATATTATTTATCTTTGTCAGATGCCTATTAATTTTGGAATAAATAAAAAAGAGAAATTTCTTGAATGTGCCTAACTATATAAATCTTATTATTATGTAAGAATTTATATGTGCTAAGTTAAATAATTAATTTCAAATTTAATTAATCTTAATATTTTCACTGCTTTTCTAATCTGACTTGAAGTAAATCCTATATACAATATTTTGTAATAATAAGATTGAACTATACATTTTTACTAGACTAATATTTATAAAGATTATACCAAAGAAATATTCTCAATATTATTGACAACTTGAAATTAACAAACGTGATAAAGTGGCCTTTATTTAGCTAGTTTTAAAAATCTTATCAGAACAATTCTTCCATTGTATACTAGGAAACAGCCTATAAAAGTTAGTTAACTAATATTGTGATTGTGTATTGTATTAAAAAAAAGAAACCAAAAATATCTAGTCACTATTTATTATTGAAAATGAAAGTACTAATCATTACCAACAATATGTAAGTAATGAAATAAAATTATGTGAACTATTTGGTAAAAACATTGTTACTTAAAACAATAAACACTTTTGTCCAATATTTGTTTCATGCAATCTCATATTTTATCATAATTTGATGCTATGCTATGAATATCAACAGTTATTGTATCTTAAACTAAGAACATGACAACTCCCAAGAATATAAATTGTCATTTCTGCAGATGATAATTATTTTAAATAATTATAAAGTTATACAGTACATAGATGAGATCTGGGGAATCTTAATAAGTTGACATAATATTTAATTTATAAAAATATTGATATATACAAATTATGGCAGAGGACTTAACAGTCATGATGATGCTCACTACTGTCTGGAGATACCTTGAGGTTCATTTATGGTCCTGTCATTGCATAAGTAACATATAATCTAAGTATTTTGATTGCTAATATATTTTGCTGTGTTGTGGAATAAATATTTATTAAAAATCATGTCATTTTATTTTTTAATTGATCCTTTATTGATTATTTCATTATTTAAATGAAGTATTTAAAAAAATTAAGAAACGCATAAAAATATATCACTAGATGACAGCATAAATTCTTCTTCCTTTTTAATTCATAGCCTATTTGCATTTACACAATTCCGCCAAGTTAGTTCATGACGTTAGACCAAAGAGATTAGAATGAGGAAGTATTGAAAAAAGAACGAAAGCACTACAAAAGTACCTACTAGATGGCGACTCTAGCAAAAGTGGATCAGTGGATTTTTTGCAGGAAATGAATGGACCAAAGACAATCATTTCCGTTCCTTTTAACTAACATATAAAAAAACTAAAATTTAAAAAGTTCGCAACTTATATATCAATACAAATACGAAAAAGTACAAATAGAATATGAGTTGTTTACTGAGTTTTGAAAATTAATTTACTATTAAACATGAAAGAAAACCGGCAGGGTTGTCATGGAGAAATCAATAACGTACCATAGTGACATCTAGTTTGATTTCGGGAATTAATGTTTTTTTAAATACTACCTCATTATCAGTGTTGTATGGATCTAATAACTTATTGATAATGAGCTGAAATGAGGAAGTATTTAAAAAAAAACATTAGTTCCCGAAATCAAACTAGATGTCACTACGGTACGTTCTTGATTTCTCCATGACAACCCTTCCGGTTTTCGTTCATTCCTCATTAATGCTGTGAAATTATTAAAAGTGGCATTTAGCTACGGTATACAAAAATATTACCGTGAAATAGTTTTCATAAATAACATATTAACGCCATAACAGGTCTAGGCATTTTTCATTATAATATTAAACAAAAGTTCCGAAAACAATAACAACTAGGTAAGTTAATTTTGTTATTATTAGTTGTTAGTTGAACCTACAACAACAAAAGTACATCAAGTTTTAATAATATTTTGATTTTATTAGGTCCTCACATATGAAATTGGCCTTTTTGTCGTACTGGCCACTTTAATCACAAATTTCTCATCCTCGGTTGGGAATTCCAAAGTCAAATTTATACAGCCATTTACACATGTATTTGTGTTTCGTTAGGCGGCATTCATTTGTTTTTTTTTTTTCTTCGGTTTACGTCACCCAGTATAAGAAATGAAAAGCTTTAAATATCATGTTATTTACGAGTACAAGTTCCACCGTGGTACCAGTGCTGCGGAAAAGGCTCGAAGAGTTAATGGTGTGTATGGCAGTCGTGTCGCAAAAGAAAACACAGTGCGTTTTTGGTTCCAACGTTTTCGTTCTGGAAATTTCGACCTGCAGAACAAGCCCCGTGGACGGTCGGAGACCCAAGTTAATAATGAAGAATTAAAGGCCATTGTGGAAGCGGATCCATCGCAAACCACGTCCGAGTTAGCTGCAGTCTGCTGTGTTAGTGATAAGACTGTTTTAATCCACTTGAACCAAATTGGAAGGATTAAAAAGCTTAATTGGTGGGTACCTCACGAATTTAGTGAAGCAAATCGACAAACGCGCTTCAACTGCTGCGTTACATTACTTAACCGGCACAATAATGAAGGGTTTTTAAATCGAATCATTACCTGTGATGAAAAGTGGATTCTCTACGATAATCGGAAGCGCTCATCGCAATGATTGGACCCTGGCATGCCAGCCAAATCCTGCCCCAAGCAAAATTGACCCCAAAAAGTTACTTGTAAGTGTAGGATTAGTGCCGGTGTCGTTCATTACAGTTTTCTCAAATCTGGCCAGACGATTAAGGCAGACGTCTATTATCAGCAATTGCAAACCATGCTGGAAATACTAGCTGTTAAATACCGAGGCTGGTCAGTCACTCTACGCCACTGCTACTTCACGACAAAGCTAGACCACACTCTGCACACTAAACGGCTTCCAAATTAGAAGAGCTTCAATTGGAATGTCTAAGACATACACCGTACTGCTCGGATCTTGTTCCACCATTTTTTTCGAAATATGGATAACTTCTTGCAAGGGAAAACATTTAACTCCGATAGGGCAGTGCAAATCGCCTTTAAAGAATTTACTGATTCCGGTCCGAATGGATTTTTAGTAAGGGGACCAAAGGACTACCTATGAGATGGCAAAAGTGCATAGATAACACTGGTTTATACTTTGATTAAATAAATATATTATATTAAAAAATATTTGACTTTTTGTTCCTCCCATACCAAAAACAAAATTTCATATGTAAACAAATATCAGTTATTATATCTTATATTCATAATTATATTATCTTAATAAAAATTCAACAAGAAACTTCCGTTCGGAACAAACAGCAAGGTTATAAGTTCAAATTTCAAAATAACTGTAGTTATTATACTATCATGTCGACGGCGGACGTCGAGCCAGGTGTTACGTTAATTCGAACGGTGAGTATGTGTTATTTTGGTTCTTTAAAATAATATTGTCAATAATAGATTATCTTCCTATTCATTCTACTCTAAATATCCGTTTTATGGAAATATATCACTTATTAAGTACCTAGAATAGTCACGCTCTCTTAAAAACGGTTCCTACAAATCGCTTTGTGGTAATGTCGTATGTGTTGGGTCATTACGTTTTCTCAATGAGGAAGTATTTAAAAAAAAAGCACTAAAAAAGCACCTCCACTAGATGGCGACTCTAGCAAAAGTTAATTTTTGCAGGAAACGAATAGACCAAAGACGGTAATTTCCCTTCCTTTTAACTAACATATAAAAAAACTGAAATTTGAAAAGTTCTAAACTTAAATATCAATACAAAAACGAAAAAGTAAAAATAGAATATGAGTTGTTTATTGAGTTTTTAAATCTAATTTACTTTTAAACATGAAAGAAAACCGGAAGGGTTGTCATGGAGAAATCAAGAATGTACCGTAGCGACATCTAGTTTGATTTCGAAAACTAATGTTTTCTTTTTAAATACTTTCGCATAGACGAGTGAAACGATGGCTGGCCCATGCGTCAAGTTCGTCAACAGGTGCTGCCGGTGGAGATGAGTCTGCACTGAACTAATTTGTCCATTTTGTCTGTCTAATTTTGTCCATTTTCTTTTATTATGAATATTGATTTGACAATGTATGAAGCAACTCAATTGAAGTTGCGAGCAACCAATAAGTTGGCTATCATTAATGTTGACATATTATTAACCAAACATCGTTCCTTTACACGTAACATAATATATAACTTAAACTTACGATTCAAATAAATTAAAATTAATTTAAAAGTTAGATATTATAACAAACAGGAATCGATGTCATATTTATTGGTTTTCCATACTCCGTTCAGTTTTGTTACGTCAGAAAGAAAATTCGAATGAATATCATAGACATTCAAAAACCGCTAGTAACATCTAATTTGATTTCAAGAAATCATTTTTATTTTTCAAATACTTTCTTTGTTAATTGCCCGAGTTTCAGTTTCAAAAAATACTAAGTAGCGATGGGTCGTTATCTATTTTAAATGACGTAACGCAACCGCTATGGGATCACTGATATCAAAACTGTTTATTTTTAGTAACTATGTAATTATTTCCATAAAGTTATAAAGTTAAAACGAATTTTACTCTTAAACAAACGTGATAAAGCTCAATTTTGGGTTGGTGTTACTTAAACACCCCGAAAGCCGAGCTATACTGACATGATGACAGGTTGCATAGTATGCATATATGTAAAATCTTTACATAACGCGTTACATTCTATAGGGTTATTAAAATTGCAGTACATGACAGTCAATGTAAAGCGTTGTCTCTTAAAGATATCTACGTATCATTGCGAACTGTGATCGCCGCTTTTTGGTGATCGCGGATATTCTAAAGCGAGTTACCTAAATATCAACCTTAAGTGATTTCCTT